CATTTGAGTGTAGACATCGTCCTTAAATATGTTGTGAGTACTAGTTTTGTTGTATTACAGTGTGCTTATGTCTAGTGTAGATAAAAAAACAAAAAACAAAAAAACAATTAGGGAGATTTATTAGTCTAGTTGCTGCCCCTGAAACCCATAGTTTATTCCAATAGAACCCAAGACATGACATACCAAAGGTAAGGCCAACCCCAAACATAAATTAAAAAAGTACACAAGACAGAAGTGAACACAGATTAATTCATACACCATATCCTTATGAGTAAGTTCATCTCTGTCACATGCGCTCAAAAGCACAAGCATATATATGCATGCCTATGCATGACACACACGCACGTATCTCATCAGTCAGAACTTATTACTTTAACCTCATCACATTAATTAGTCAGTGTGCCCATCTCATGTACCTCCAGTGGCTGACAGAGGGTCAGCCAGCAATGCCTACAGAGCAAATATCTGCCTCAGCTGCAGGGTCTTCCTCCTCCTCCTCTCACACCTCAAGGGAAGTGCTTCAAGATGGGCACGCAAACCTCCTCTATTCCCCCTCTCTCTATGCACAATCTATTCATCCTTCAGTCTCTTTCTCCGTAAGATGACCTCTCGCCACACTGAATGTTTCTGAGACTGACTGATGAGATTATAATAATGTAGATTCATATATGCATAATGGTCAACTAACAGTGACAGGTGTAGGACAAGCCCAGTGCTGGGGAGACGAGGTGCCACCACCGGTTTAATTATCCGCTGCGCTAATGTGACCTCTAACCCCCGAGCCATGGCCCTGGTGTGGCAGATGATGGCCGCGGCAAATTTGGGTGGCGCAGGGGAAAATGTGAGACACAAACTCTGGAGAGAGGAAGTCAAGAAGGTGTATGTCACAAAAACACCCGCTAATGTGAGCTTTATGAAGGATATGAATCATTTTAAAACATCCAACTGTCTAGATCAAGCCTAATCTTATAAAAAAAGTATCTTACTGTGAAACCCTAGATTTGCATTTCCTGGAGGAAATACCAGAGCTTATTGTAGGATTTAGGCTTTGGTTCTGTATAAATGAAATGCCACATCAGATCTGCTTTAAACATTGCTAATGCATTAAAATCACATAATGTGACACCATCTTTGGAGTATAAAGACAGCTATAGATTAGGGGTGTGAATTTTTGGGTTGTCAATCAAATTGATTAATGATTCACTGGGTTTTGATACAATTCAGAAGCATTTTGAATGAATGATCTGATTCACAACTATTCAATAGTGTAATCAAAATATCCACTACAGCTGTTTGAAAAAAGGTTCAAAGGGAATAACAAACCAAATGTATTAAATATATATTTAATATGTATATGTTTTATATATTGCACACTACTGTAACAAACTACAGTTAGCTAGAATTTAATTTGATTATACCAACATAAATAGTGACTTAAAAGTTATATTTTAAGATTGATGGCTATTATCAAGATCAACAGATATGAATTGGATTTATAGTTTGAAAGAAAAAAGACTAAATCACAATGCATTATGCAGATAAATGTTACAATGCCATCAACCTTGTTTTCAAACTTACTCTCAAAATTTTTTTCAAACTAATGCTCTTTCAAAAAAGCATGCAACAGTATTTAAAAACTAAATGGCACATGTAATCTAAAAATGAGTTTTGAGAAAAAGATGTTAAAAGAAACTTTGAAGGCATAATACTAAGTGCTGTGGTCAAGTGGCTCTCAAACTAAACTAAGCTAACTTCAAAATGTCATTTTTATTTTACTTATTAAATTCAATGTTACTTGCTCTTTCATTGTAATTAGTGAAATTTACAAGCAATCCTACACCATTTTTTAGTGTACAAACTTACTGTAAAGTATTTTTATATAGTGGCAAATGAAACCTATGCGAATAGTATTGTTTCATTGTTTTCATAAGAAGAATACACACTAAGATATAATTATATTCACTATTTGCATAGGTTCAATTAGGTAATTCTGTTCAAAAAACAGATTAATTCTAAATCAGCATTAAATCCATTTCCAGCTCAATTAAAACTGGTCTGTGTATTTTGAGTGGTATTTAGCAGGAGTTAATAACACAAGTAGGGTTAAAAACAATGTGTGCGCCACATTTAAATGGAGCTACGTATTCATGCCTGCTGAAGCTCCTGCCTTACACACGATCACCCACACAAACACAAATTGCAATTACCACAATTATACACTTATGCTGACGCACACATACAGTAATTACAAGCATTTGTCTCCCAGCGTATTGCATAAAGAGCTCACATCTTTTTCTGAGCCGTCTAAAATCAGAAACAAAAAGCACTCCCCTTGTTTGTCATGGAGGTGAGTTTGAAACCAAGCCAAAAATAACTCATCATTTACATAACTCAGCATTTACATATTACCCATAATTCATACCATTAGCATATCAAAGCTGGGGATGACTCTTTGGAGGTGGGACGGAGGCCATCACATTAAGTGCTCTCCACAGCTAATGCAGTGATAATACATGGAAAGCTATTCATCTATCAGAGTCTGGAAGCGATGCTTGTCTTTATGGGAACCCATGAGAAGCACTTCAGTAGGGGGAAAGGGAATGAGTTTGATGTGAGAAGCTCGGATGAAAAAAAAAGACAGTCATGTAACGCAAACTTGTAAGTGGGACAGAGACTCGAGCAGGAGGTGATACCAGGCCACACACACATACTGTATGCAAAACGCATACTCATGCTCACAGTTATCAGCAGCCAAACACACACTTGAAAACACAACACAATAAAACACACAATATCAATATGCAAAAATGGAAAAGTATGCTGCTTTTGATGCTTTTATGCCTCTTAAAGCACACTGAAACCATGACTATGAAAAGCATACATCTAACTGATGCTTTTTCAGCATATTCAAAATGCTCTTTTTGACAGAACCATAGAAAGAAACTAGATTTTTTACACTGTGCGAGTGGTGCATGCCCTTGGAAGACTCAAAGCTATGGTTGTGGGTGGCAGGCCATTAACTGGGTGTTTATTTAACTGTGCACTTTTAGCCTTATGGACTCTCTCTTAAAAACAGTTTGTTTAATTTATAATAAAAATAAAAAAATAAAAAAAAGCTATACTGCGAAAAAACAAAAATATATTCTGGTCAGTTGATATTTACATTGATATCTCTTTGTTTTCTTCACACATGAATAATAATAATAATACAAATAATAATACTAATAACTTATACATTAAGGCCGGTTTCATAGACAGGGTTTAGTCTAAGCCAGGATTAGGCCATAGTTCAATTAGGACATTTAAGTAATTTTTATAAACATGCCTTAGAAAAAGGCATTACTGCTGTGCATCTTAAGACAAAACAAAGGCACTGATATATTATATAAGATCAGTCAGTGCAAGTTTCTTTCAGTTGAAACAGCTCAGATTTACATTTTAGTCTAGGACTAGGCTTAAGCCTTGTCTGTGAAACCGGGGGTAAATATTTTAATGGTTTATAATTACTTCACTCTATTTATATTATCATCACTGTAAAAAATGACTGTGAATTTAACGGTAAAAGACTGTAAAAATGCTACAGTAAAAACCTGTTAAATTATGTTTTACAAATGTAATAAAAATATTCTCATTATGTATTGTCATAAGTCTTTAACTGAGAAAATCTAATAGCAAATATAAATGTATTGGAATAAAAAAATTTCAAGGTAGTTTAAATGATACGCATATTATATAACTACAAAATAAATTAACAAATAAATAAATAAAATAAAATAAAAATCAGAATATATCTATATAACAATCATTTTGAAATAATTATAATATGCTGATTTGTTGCTCAGTTTTTATCAGTTATTATTGGTGCTCAATTATTAATACTGGTCCTTGTTGTCAATGTGGAAAACTTAATATTTCTCTGCTTTATATATATATATATATATATCTTTTTTTTTTTGTGTGTGTGTGTTTGTGTGTGTGTTTGCAGCCTTTTTTTCAAGATTCTTTGACAAATAGAAAATTTATTTGAAATATAAATGTTTTGTAATATTATAAATGCCTTTACTGTCACCTTTGAGGTATTTAATTTGTAAAAGTAAAAATAAAAGTTTTATTTTTATTATTTAACCTTTATTAAATAACTTTCAACCGGTAGTGTAAAAATGCTTGAAGTTGAATAAACATTAATTACATCTGGGAAATTACAAGAAGATTACACTACTCTCTAAGGCTACGTTTACACGACAACAATGTAGTCAAAAACGAAAAAGTTTTTCCCTTGTGTTTTTAAAAAGTTTCACGTATACACAACGTTTTCAAAACAATTCGCGTTTACACATATCCGCGAAAACAGCCAAAAACGCTGTATTACGTATACAAGGCCAGCAGTTATCACTGTCACCTTGTTAGTAAACAGTACCTGTAGAGAAGTGACGATTATATGTGGTATATGATGCGTCTTCCGCTGTTGGTTGTAATATTGGTGAAGTAAATCCACACTTTGCTGAAGAAGCGTTAGCAAACTCTTGAGCAGCAACAACAGTACCATGTACTCCGCCATTGTTGTGTATGTTTGTTTGCGCTTGCCTTTAAAATCGACACGTACTGCGCATGTCTACATACTTAACACGTACTACGCACGCGCATGACGTGACCGTTTTCAAAGATTCACGTTTTGGGTGTTTACACGGAAACGATACCTGTGGCGTTTTCAAAAACTTGCACTTTAAAACCTGTTTTCCAAAATATGCATTTTCAGTCCCCAAAACACCGTTATCGTGTAAACGAACAGGCAAAACGCATAAAAAGTTTCCCGTATTTGGCTGAAAATGTTGTCGTGTAAACGGCCCCTAAAATACTCCGGTTCCTAGATATGGTTATGGTCCCTCCTTCAATGAGATATACTTTTATTCTGAGCTTCATTACTAAAGGTTAAGATTTTTGTAAAAACCCTAACATGAGTAATAATATGAGAGAAAGAAATACAAATATAACAAACTTACTCCTTCGTTTGCCCACGTCTCCCTTAGAGGTGGCGGCTTCATTCAGAAGGACCATTCCCATGGTGATGGCTGCATCTAAGATGGAAGTCAAAGAAAGAACTGGCAGCATGGATGTGGCTGGTTTGCAGAATAAACACCTAGGACCTGATATAATGCTTACAGAGTACCTGAAAAATTACTGATCGGTCTGGCAAAACAGCTTTAGCACAACTGGAAATTTCAAGTACTCTGAACACAATTGAAACAAGACCCTCTTCAACTCTGAGCACACTTCACTCAGCTGGGAGGTCTCCTCTAGCCTGGGGGAAAGCTAGGTGTCAGCGAGAGGAAGACAGACAAACATGAGGTGTTCTGCCAGCAGCCAGAAGCTCCCCTCTCCTCCAGCAGCCGAGCCAGACGGTAGCAGAGGGTCTCTGTCTGTCTGCTCACTCTGTATCCATCAGGCACAGTCAACAAACCCACGTAATTACAGGGGAAGTTCACACAGAGAGCGGATTTTTTATAAACAGAAAACAACAGCATTTATCTGAAACAGCATTTGTAACAAATGTCTTTACTGACTGATTAATTTAATGCATCCTCGTGGAACAATTTCTTTCTTTCTTTCTTTCTTTCTTTCTTTCTAAATAAATAAATCTTACTGAACTCAAATTTTGAACAGTAGGTGTATAATTAACAATACAAAATTATATTTCTATGTTCATATGTTTTTGTCAGCACTACATGCAAATAAAAATAATTATTTTCCCATTTAATTTCATTCTTATTCAAGAAATAAAACGTTTGTCAACTAAAATGTTCATCAGTAAATTTGTTGACAAGATTAGCATTGTTTTCCAACTTTTTTCCAATCATATTTAATCAAAGAGAAAACAAACAAGTAAATAAAATTTAGCTGCACTGAAAAGGCTGGGGAAATGTACAAAAATTCACAGTGGCACATCCTACATTTTGAAACGTTACCAGAACAAAAACAGATCTGTATGAAGTTAGTGGGTTATTACGGTTCACTTCATTAACAGAACAAAGTGACAGGTCCATTGTGCAGAAAGAGGTTTTATGTGAAAGGATACTCAACAGAAGAATAATGTGAGATTCAGCCACAAACTGTGCTTGACTGCTGCCGTGGATATAACTCTGAAAAAGACAGAAAGAAAATAAGATGACAAACAAGCAGACAATAGACCTTTCAAGTTCTGCTTTCACACAGCTGTATCACTTTATCACTACTATATTATGGGTCTATGATAAGCAGTGCTTTATTGTATTTATCATACTGCAAATGCATGAACTCATCCCACACACACCACCACTGACTTTGTATTTCAAAGCAAATAAATAAATAAAATCATGATTCTTAGAAGGGAAAAGGTCAGTTAGAAAAGCCAAAAGACAAGGAAAAAATCCATAAGGTCAAAGCAGATGCATGGAAAGATGAAGGGATAATCTAGATAAAATCAAAAGAAAACCTGAGAATAAGTGACAAGAGCTTCAATGGGTCAATGAAAAGAGCACTGAAGCACTCTAACACATCAAGTCATAATGGCATCACTTGCTCTCTGGAGAGAAAACACTCTAGATATAGCATAAACAAGACCCTCATTCATCTGTGCTAGATGAATGTGCACAGGAACAGTGCAGAGTTGATGCAGCTTCAATGAAAATCTGAAGTTTGCAGGCTTGAAAGCTTTCTAAAACTTCTCAGACTTCACATTTTGATAGATGAAATCTGCCAGTGAATTGCTTTAAAGAAAATCCTCAAAAACTGGGTGAACTAATTATTTCATCATCAATATCATCATCCTAGAGTCATTCCAAAGTCTATGGAAATTTTGCAGAATGTCCATGCTGCTCTTTTCCATCAACATTAAACAAAGTATTATACAACATAAAAGCAGCCCTGTGAAGCATTGCGATTATTCTAAAGTCATGCAATAGATTTGTTTGAAGAACAAACTGAAACTTAAGTCTAAATACATCTTTTTTTTGTGTTCGATGGGAAAGAAAAATCACAGTTTGAAATATCTTGAGGGTAAAACATTCTGTTAACTTGGAAAAAAAAAAAAAATCAGCCAGTGCACCATTTTAACATATAAAATCTAAAGCTTCAAAACTTTAGAAACACAACGTATTCACTATTTCTACTGAGGTTACATATTTAAATAGAGGGTATAAAGCGATAATGTATTAGACTAACTTCTGAAAAACTAATTTCAAGGTGAGATGAACACATTCTTAAAGAACAATGTACACTATCTTATAGTTCAGGGGATTTTTTTTATTTATTTAGTCATAAAATCCAATCTAGGGACCACCTAGATACTGAAATCTGTTGCTGAATTTCATTATTTTGAATGAAGCCTGAAGACATGCATGTATGCTTTGATCAAATATGATAGATATGATAGATTTGAGTAGAAATCACTACTGAAGACAAAATATTGAACGCTTTTTATGTTCAGTGTGACACTAAATAAAAAAGTCAATAGTCAACTTGAACGCAGCAATAAAGTATTGAAGAACTAAACACTGCCATCAGCAGCTGTTGTCACTTGCAGCATTTCTTGTAGAGACAGAAAAAGAGAAAGATATGGGGGATTGTGGAAAGGAGGGAGCCATTAAGAAGAAGATATGAGCAAATAGGCCAGTGCATTTATCACTGTCATGTCACCTGTCGCCTCTGGGTTAATGCATCTGCTAACATTTAAACACAGCCATACTGCTGCATATTTTCATATGAAAGAAACCGCAATTTAGAAGCACTTTCAGCACTAACACAGAGAGACACAGCTGTATTATTCTACTGAAGTATCTGACATTGGGCATTTGCAATTTAAAAACAGTCATTTGCTACTTTAAAAAAAAAAAAAAAAAAAACACCCGCAAGTATTTTTACTTATTCATTCATTATTCACTCATTTTTTAATTTATAATTATTATTTTTTGTATTTTTTATTTTAATTTTATTTATTTATTTGATAAGGCAGGTAAGAGGCCATGTCTACAATATTAAGACTGTATAACACTTTGATTTATAATGATTTAATAATTTTATATATTTATATTTTATGTATTTAATATATTTCAAATATTTTAAAATTTTAATTAAACAATCAATTTATAGCTTTACAGGAATAGGTCTGAATAGTAATGCAAATTTGCTGAAAATGAACTCACCCTCCGGCCACCCAAGATCAAGATGAGTTTGTTTCTTCATCAGAACAGATTTGGAGAAATGTACCATTACATCACTTGCTCACCAGTTGATCCTCTGCAGTGAATGGGTGCCATCAGAATGAGAGTCCAACCAACTGATAAAACATCACAATAATCCACTAGTAATCCACATGACTCCAGTCCATCAATTAACATCTTTTGGAGTGAAAAGACGTGTGTTTGTAATAAACAAATTCATCATTAAGATGTTTTTAACTACTGTACAAACCTCTGTCCATCCTTTATCCATTATATTGCTTTCTCTAGTGAAAAAGTTTTGTCTTGTATGAATCAGGAAAAAAAAAAAAAAAGTATGCACAGATCAAGCACTGCTTACAAGCAAAAACAGTCCAAAACAGTTCCGAACAAATACAGTGGATATTAATGTGCGAGGACAACAGATGATGGACCTTTTCACTGGAGGAATTTTTTTTATTATGGACTCGTATTTTGGCCAGAAGCAAAGTTAAACTGCCTTGATGACAGATTTGTTTCTTACAAATATTAAGCTTTTAACTTCACAAGACGTTAATTGATGGACTGGAGTCTTGCAGATTACTTGTGGATTATAGTGATGTTTTTATTAGCTGTTTGGACACTCATTCTGACGGCACCCATTCACTGCAGAGGATCCATTGATGATCATATGATGTAATGCTAAATTTCTCCAAATCTGTTCCGAGGAACAAACAAACTACATCTTGGTTGGTCTGAGGCCGAGTAAATTTTCAGAATATTTTGGGTGAACTTGAATATTACATTTGTATGTTCATTTAATACCTGCTAACAATAAAACAATGGCTTATTTAAATCACACATAAATTGATAGAGTGAACAAAAGAGGATTAAATACAGAAAATCATAGAAATGAATGAAGAGGTGTAATAAACGAAGCGAGAGAATCAGTAGTTGTGAGGACAAGTGTTGGTGTCATTGCGTGGGCAGATATCCTCATCAGACTGTTCATTTATTCAGAGTTGACTTCTGCTCTGGGCTTTGAGGCAATGCTCTGAAGAGCAGATCCATTGTACCAATAGTGCACTGGGGTTACAGATGTCTACTTTACAGTCAGACTGACGTCACCATCCAATGAACCATCAAACATCATATTTAGTGCTTTGTGTAGGAGCATACATGACTGAATATGATAATTACAGCCGCCTACATGCATTTATATTCAAAAGACATTATTTTTGACTCCTGCTAAAATTCAACTCCTACACTTTAAAAAGCGAAATGTCTGTTAAATGAACGCCCTGGCCTTGGAGGTTGTTTTAAACCCTGCCAATGTGAACAATTCTCTACAATTAGATGATTGCACTCGGTTTTGAATTTAGCATCTGTTCAATTAGCGAAATAAACAAAACAAGCTAAAAAATACCAGACTTATTACTAGAAGACAGGCATTTGAATATTTTCTCTTAGAAATAAAATAAAAAATTCAAATGAATTAATATTGAGTAATTTTAAGAGAACTAGGAATGATTTTATTCAATGGTAAAATCAGTGCGATCACAAAATGTTAATTTTTCATTAATAACTTCACTAAGCATGAGGTCAGGACACATTAGCCTATGAACACAATGTTGGTGGTGTGAAGCAAATGAGAAGCAATTAAAGATGTGCTGAGAATATCAAATGTAATAGAATATAAAGGAGGAACCACCCAAAAAACTTTCTTGGCTTCACACACACTTGCATTTGTGGTTTACGGGGACTCTCCATAGGCGTAATGGTTTTTATACTGTACAAACTGTATTTTCGATCGCCCTACATGCACTAACCCTACACCTAAACCTACCCTTTACAGAAAACTACTGGCAATTTTTGAATTTCATAAAGCACCGTTTTGTATGTTTTTTAAGCCTTTTGTTTTACGGGGACACAGGAAGTGTCCAGGTATTAAAAAAATACATGGTTAAAAAAAAGAAAGAAAGTGAGATATTACTAAAATAACTCTATCACCAGGCCAGGGCTCTTTAACTTTTTTTTTTCAGTGGCCAGATTATTATAATGAAAACTCAAGGGGAAGAAACTCTTTCAGAGATTAAACTTTTTCATTATTAGATCTTAGCAATTTTGCTGTGAGAAAGATAACTTTAAAAACAAAACAAAACAAAACAAAAAACACTTAATACCATGTGTCTGTTTACATTAACAATTTAGGGTTACAGCTTTCAAATTAGGAAATTTTGGGAAGAACAAAGGTCTGAAAAGATAATAATCTTGAAAATACCAATCCACATGAGAGAAAATGGCTATAGAAATAATAATAGATAAAATACACACTACTGTTCAAATGTTTGGGGTCAATAGGATTAAACTGATCAAAAGTAACAAGACATTTATAATGTCACAAAATATTTAATAAATGCCATTCTGTTGAACCTCTATTTATAAAAATCCCAAAAAAAGATCACATTTTGAAAAAAAAAAAAAAAAAGCAGCACTGCTTTCAGTGTTTATAAAGCAAACTCTTTTCAGCATTGATAATAATAATAAATGCAATGTAATATTATTGTTTTTACTGTATTTTGATCAAATAAATGCAATTTTGGTGAGCATAAGGCGATTCTTTCAAAATGTCAAAGACCTTAAATAATACAGAACTGCCACTTCACACTTAAAGGGTTAATTCACCCAAAAATGACAATTAGGCTTTTTTACTCACTGCCGAGGCATCCTAGGTGTATATGACTTTCTTCTTTCAGACGAATCCAGTCAGAGTTATATTAAAAATTGTCCTGGCTATTCCAAGCTCTATCATTGCAGTCAGCGGGTGTTGCAAAAAGCGCCCATCCATAAAAAAAAGTGTATCACACGACTCCGGGGGGTGAACAAAGGCCTCCTGTAGCGAAAGTAAGAAAAATAATCATATTTAAAACGTAATAATCACTTTAATCTAGCTTGCGCTCACTGTT